ACAACTTTCAGTGGACGAGGAGCGCCGCCCTCTCGTTTGGCTCCTAGCCTGAAAGCGGCCATCACTCGTAGTTCCTGGGCTTGTGTTCCCTCGCCAGGGACGAAGCGTCTGGCCGGGACTCCTCGAAGCAAAGAAATGTCCGCGTTAAGCCGGGCTTGCGCCAAGGGTTCCGTGGACTCTGGCATATTGACAGCCAGGAAGCATTGCTGTCTTGAGGGGCGTTCCCGTCGCAGGTCTCCTGCAACGGCCGGTCGGGGGACTGGCCTGGGGTTGGGGGGGGGGCCNTCGGTGACGCTGATCACAGCACTGTTGGGGCATGCGAGGCAGCAGCAACTGGGGTGTACGATCAGTTTTTGGCGTTGGGCAACGAAACTGGTGGCTCCGGCAGTGTCTGAATGGGCGCAGAGGATCCAGGCTTGATCACTACCGCTGCGCGGCTCTCACTCGAGGTTGGTCGCACGTTGTTGATTGCACGCCTGCGTCTCGGTCGTCTCTGCTCATCGGCGGTATCTGTGGGCGGCGCCTCCGCTGATGAGGACTGCTGCTCACATTCCGCAAGCCCACTTGCGTTCGGCAAGGGCAGCACTTATCTGCCTACACTCGGTGTATTGAATGTAGGGAGACAATAGTCACATACAAACTTCAAATTTGGGGAGTCGCACGACTGGAGGGCTATATACATGTCTGGCGGTAGGCTAGTACATGTAACATGATGCCAACATTGACACATGTCACATAATAGGGCCTTCACGCGAGGGCCGACGATCTTCTTGCACTTTTAGCACGAAGAGTTTCTCTTCGTGTCATTGCTGCATATACAGTAAATCCACAGGAGGAAGTACACAAGACACAGAAATATATTTTCCACGATGACGGCGGACACAATTTGGTGTGGCGCAGATCAAGGTCCTTGAAGCGCAGTCTAGGAAGTCCCCTGTACTCACAATATATTGAACAGTTGCATGATCATTCGTTGCTTACTCATGAGCAGCTTAACAATATTTTTAGAATATTAACAGTTGCGAAGATAATTCTCCAAAAATAATAAAACTCATAGTTGCCATTTGTGATGAGCAAAACAATTTTACCCACTTGCATGTACCCTTGATGTTTTCGAAAGCCTCTCAGTTTTGTTCAGCGTTCGTTCTACTCTGAACAATGGCCAGTTAAGTAAACTATTTGAGGCTACCTGATAGAACTACTGCGTTTAGAAAATAACCAATTTTGATCACTTCAAACCGTGTATTGTAAGGGAATGCCAGTCATCAGCATCTGGTTACCCCATATCGCACCTAATTAACTTCAGCTCAAATAACCATGAAACCAATGGAAAACAGGACGCAATCAAAACAGAACACCGACCTCGACGCGATTTCGTTCATCATATTCATCGGTAAGCTCGAATGACCAAAGTATAATGATCACTTTCACGACTGATGTGGTTATCTTACAGGGTGTAGTGTTCAACTCCATCCAAACACAAACTTCAGTGGAATGAATAAAACTTGAATAGTTTGTTGTCTGACTCTGATCTTTGGTGGTGAAAGCATTAGGTTTGCAAAACTATAGGTTACATTTATCCGTTATCACTTATCCACTAGATGCATTCTGATACTCCTCTCCTCAACCACGGCCTTGCAGTTGAGCGCATTTTAACTGGTCCCCAGCACATGAAGTAGGATGTGATAAAATGTCTATATATGTAATTTCCGGCATACAAGCTCACGCGACTTTCTGTCCGCATTCTAATACATGTTTAATTATGCCTGCCTGCTGTATACATATTTACTTAAGCAGAACACTGTAGCTTATCCGTTATCTACAACAAGCTACGTTTTATACCTTGATGTTGCCTTTTTTATCGATGGACGGGTTTTCATTGTACTTTTATATGAAGTATAGCAAAACATTTATTTTCCTGGTGAAATTTGCATACCTTTTGTTCTAACCTTTGGATTCAGCCATTATTTGCCTTTACTATGTCAAATTCAGTAACTGTGTACATCTTTCGCAGGGTAATATGCAGATTATTTTTTATTATTTTTCTATGAGCGATTTTGGCGTCAGTCTCAGCATTCCTGTTCAGTTCGGTAGGTCATTTTGGTAACCGCGCTAACCACTGACCGCAGTTCTCACCTTGATGGTTCCTTCGCTAGCTTATTAAGCACGTTGCTTTACCGTCGTGTTATAACTACTGCGTGCCATTCACAAGCCAATGGCCTAAAGAAAAGGTTTCGACGTCAATTTAGGTCTGGCTTGCAAACCCAATATAAGCCATCTTGAAGAAAGTCAATGGTAACAATTCTCCTAGGGTTAGACGGGATGAGTTTGATATGTCTTGATGTATCACCTAGTTTTATACGAGATTATTTGACAGCTTTATTTATTACTCAGAATAAGCTACAACTCAATACAAACACTGTTTGTGACTATGTACGTGATATCGGAGTGTTTCCAATGCATTTCTTCCTTTTTCTTTTCTTTTTTTTCTTTTTACTTCCTTTTTATTGAATACACAAGGATGCAATTTTCATGAAGGGAGAAGCGGCCAATTAAAAGGCTGCCATACAACACAAATGGAGAAAGTTAGGTGGTAGTGGTGGGATTCGTACACTCGTCCTCCGGGGTGATAATTTGATGACGTTACCACCGGGCCACCACCGCGTACATCCCGTAGCATCAACCGGAATCTAACTTCCGAGGAATAAAAATTCTCTAACACTGTAAAAATCTTCCACTGAGTTGTTTCTGTGTACTTTTTATTTTATTTTCATTCGTTTAAAGTAGCATTTTTCCATTACAAATTCACCAATACAATCATTCTCCAAAAAACGTTTTGGGTTATCTAAATAAAACCGAATTTCAATAGGGTAAGAGATAGACATAGATCACCTGAAGTAAACCGTCATCAAAGTAGATACACTCAGCCCTAGTTCTTCTACGTGTCCGGTATCTACATCTGAATTGTCAGCACTAACAACATTCACCCTTTGCTTTGATTTTTTTCTCTGGGTACAAAAATTAACTCATCAGTTGATACTACCGCTTCCGTAAACTGAGAAAATTAGGGTGGATGCATGTTGCAACAACCCGTCAGGTTTATTAATTACATAGATTAGATATAGTTTGCAGAGAATGTGGTTATCTTCATGTATACCATCCTCTCAGTGGTTATATTCTCGTTTCACACTTGTGTTGGTGGTAGAGATGTTTTATGATGGGAAGCGGTTGTAAATCGGAAAAACATGGAAGACTAAACTGAAGACCCTACTGAGCAACTAAGCGTTACTGAACCGGAGGTTATAACGGTTGAACTGCAAGTTTCTGCAAGATTCGGCCTCATTTAATAGTTACAGTAGTCTACTGAACGATCACCTTCAAAAGGGATACTTCGACTGCGTACCTGAACACCAACTTCTACGGGCAACTCCAAACATTTCCCGTTTGCACACGACGCGCGAAAGGATTTAGCGGCCTGAAACAAGCCATCTGCAACATGACTTCTGTTTCACATTACGTCCCCGGTGCTCCTCTGTCGCTGACAACAGAGGCCTGCGACGTAGCTGTAGGTGCAATTTTACAGCAGCTGTTCAACGACACCTGGCATCCGCTCGCCTTCTTCTCTAAGTGATTACAACCAGCTGATTCCTGCTATAGCGCTTCTGGTCTCCAGCTATATGCCAAACAGTTCATCGTCTTCCCTTCATCGTCTTTCCCGATCATAAACCCTTCATTTATTCGGTCCGCTCGATTTCCGACAGATACTTTCCCAGAGAGTCCCGTCACCGGGACTGTATCCCTCAGTTTACTGAGGATATACGCCATGTATCAGGGGTACACAATCCTGTCGCAGATGTCACGCATGAACCTCGTCGCGTCTTCTGACATTATCGACTTATCGCTCCTCGCTGAGGCACAGAAGTCAGATTCCGAGCTGGAGACTCTCTCACTCAAAATCCAGCTCATTCCCCTTACTACTTCAGAGGACAACGTCTGGTGCGATTGTTCTACCGGCACCCCGAGCCCGGTAGTGCCCCAATCTCATACGATGCAGGTCTTCGACACCTTGCACAGTCTGTCTCACCTCGGTATCCGCGCTTCAGTAAAGTTAATCTCGCGACGTTTCATCTGGCTCAAAATGAATCGCGACGTAGCTCATTGTGCCCGCACTTGCTTAGAGTGTCAGAGGATTAAGGTACATCGTCACACTAGAATCTTACTAGGATTCTTCGGCTCTCCGAATGCACGCTTCCAGCACGTGCACGTCGATATGGTTGGCCCTCTGCCACCTTCTGGAGTTTTCACTTACCTCTTGGCATGCGTAGATTGCTTTCCGCGTTGGTCCGAAGCTATTCCCATTCCGGGCTGCACTGCCCAATCCGTCGCTAAGGCCTTTTTAGAGCGTTGGGTTGCCACCTACGGATGTCCAGCCACTGTGACTACTGATAGGGGTTCACATTTCGAAGGAGCGTTTAAGGCCCTACTCCACGTACTGGGTTGTATTCACACCCGGACCACCGCGTGCCACCCTACAGTCAATGGGTAGATCGAGCGGTTTCATCGGCAATTCAAGGCAGCCTTCAAAGCACACTCCGGTTCTGGTGGCATAAGGCTGTTCCGCTTGTTCCTTTGGGCATTCGAAACACGATAACTGCTGATCTGCGCACCACATCGACAGCTCTAGCTTTCGGCAGCGCCTCCTCGGGGAACTTATCGCGCCAACACCCCTGAGCAACTTCAACCACGCCGAATTCGCTCATCAACCACCACATGCGCGAGGTTTGCGCCGCAAACACGCGACAGTAGACCATCTCCGTTTATGTACCCAAGGAATTCTCATCCTGCACGCATGTTTTTCTTCGCGTAGATAGCACCAGAGCACCATTACAAGCTCCGTTCACCGGACCGCATAGGGGGACAACCCATAAGGATAAGTGCGCCATTATCGAGATTATTGGTAAACGTGAAACGGTTAGCTTAGACCCCTTCAAGCCGGCGTTCATTGAAAACGGCACTGCGCGTAATTCCCCTGCCTCACCCAACAATCTAGTGCCTTGTCCTCCCTCTCCCTCTACTGGTCCATCTCCCCAGACCCCAAATGATCTCCCCATGCCCCCACCTATAGTGTTCAAACGCAACCGTCGTGGTCGCAAAGTTTGTCAACCAGTTCGTTTTGCTTGCCAAC